CACACACACACACACACACACACACACACACTGAGGAGTATTAAAAACATACTTTTCGTGCTTAATTGATTAATGATCAGTTCTTCAGACTGAAACCTTTAAAACATCAGCTCAACGTGGATCAACCCTGAAACTTAAATCAACACCGTCTGCATATTGTGATTAATAAAGTAGACTAAACCCCAGAGGGTCAGAAATGAAAGAGGACGATTTTTCATTTTGTGCTTTTGAGAAAAAAAGGTTGAGAATAAAGTCCTGTGCTTGGTTTAAAAGCAAGTCAAGATTAAAAGGACCAAGCTTTACGTTATAGATATGATACAGTGATCAATAAAGTAACAGTTGCAGAGGAGGTGAATTTATTCCCACTGTTTTTACTTTAGGGGATAAAGCAGAATTGGCAAAAAAGGATGAGTCCCAATTTGCATTTTTTGCACTGGTATTCTTGACGTTGGTTAGAACATATTTATTTATTTTCATATTTTTTTAATTGGATTTCCTTGATTTATGTGTGTTGCATGTATTTCTGTTTTATGATTCATGTGTGTATGAACATTTGTATTTTTTAAAGGCTGCAGCATGGATGAAGGGCTGAAGACAAAATCCAATAAATATTAATATTTGTCATTATCTTAAAATTAAAGTAAATCTTCTTAAGTTACAGAGGCCAGGCTGAGGAAACAAAACTGAGTTCAGTTTATGTTTCTAAAGCCGATTTCAAACATGAACTCCAGGAAATGTTTGGAAAATTGGGTCCGGACTTTTTCTGCAGTTTGTTTTTCACATGTGAAGAAGACTCGTACAAGGGAGGAGCAGCAGGAGACATTTTAGGAAACTATCTGGACTTTGAACGAAAAACATTTCTGGAGTGGTCGGTGACTTGTTACAACCCAATCTGTCCTGAAACGTTTCGCAGCATTACGTGCAATCAACATGAAAATAAAATATATTATAACGTGTGGATCGACAGCAGGAGGAGATTCATGGAGCCGCTGTGAATGTTCAGGAATGTAAATATAACACTTCTTCCTCTCCGGCAGCCAGTCTCATCCTCATCATCCCGCTGTAGCTGTAATGGCGGCTGAAATCACCATGGCAACAGAGTTTCTACATGAAGAGCGAGGCTGTGAGAGAAGCTGGAGGAAGAGGGGACGGAGAGACGGAGGGAGAGGGGACGGAGAACGAGGGGCCGGGGCCTCTCGCAACATCGAGTGATTTATGTTTATAACACTTCACACTCTGAAAGAAAAGGGCGTGAGGCTTTAACGGCCCGGCAGCCATTCCCATTTATTCTCTGTCTCCACCTTCTTTTTTCTCTCTCCATCCTCCTCTCTTTATTCACCTACTTCTTTTCTCTCGCTGTATGAAAATGTCAGTATCAGAGGATCTCTGCATGTTAACATTGGCTTTTGTTGATGTGAACTTAATACTCTCTCGGTCCTTTAATACTGATGTGACTAGAGGACCCATGCACGTCGTTGCGTATCTCCTGGGAGCCTCATTCCACAGCAGCAGTTCCCAAACTCTTTTCTGTCACGCCCCCCAACATTCTTACTATTCTTGTTTGTTTTCCATATTATTTCATTTTACAGCCTTTAAAGTTGAAATACGAGCCTGTATCTGCCAGTATTCGCTTGGGCCAGGGTCAAAATATGGGCCAAGTGTGTTTTTATTTTATTTTAAAGCAGTTAATAAGAATGGAAAAGCTCAGTTTACCATATTCCACTACTCATGTCCCCTCACGCTGAGGTGGTTCTTAGGATAAAATACTTCTATCATGAAAAAAGAAAAGCTGACTCATCCGTCATTCAATGAAAATCGTCACACGCTTGAACTTCGCACACTGAGTCCTCACAGCAGGAGATAAAATAGAGTCGAGCTAAGAGGATGATTTTCTCAGGACGGCTTCTGAGTCTTTTTTTCAGGACGTCAGTGTCAAGTGTTGGAGTCGGTGTAAACGTGATTGACACAAGATTGTATTTATGTCAGAATATGCGACAATGGTGTGTAAAGTCTTCAACATTAATATTAACCAATCAGCCTGGTGCCTGTCTTTGCTAAAGGGTTAGCATTTTGACGCATCTGATGTCAAAGTGATGATTATAGAGACGCTCAGAGAAAGCTTTAGCCAAAACAACTTTCTCAAACAAATCCTCACCAGCACGATGATTCTGCTCCTGTTTAGAATCTTTCCTCGCTGACAGTGCGTTCCAATAGACACACTATTCCACATCTACTTTTCTTTTTTCTCGATAGTCGCCAAGATATTTGTCAGTGATGATGTGTCACAGCCGTGTTTTATGTTTCCTTCACCCTGAACGTGACCTGACGAACAAACAGCTGGAAGCGACCACCCTGAAGGACAAGTTCACGACTTTATGTTAT